CATACATGGTCCCTTTTTACTTTGTATTTTGGTGCCAACTTCTGTTTTCTAAATATTCTGCAATTTCAGTTTCAAGAATTATTTAAAGAGTATAATTTCCAGGAAGTCAGGCTTTTTCTTTTTTCTATCTTTATTTTTAATGTCCGATTGTATTGCATTGTCATCAGAGTATACTGTCTATTTTTACTTGGGAGAATTTATTTCCGTTTTCTTTGTGGTTTCATATGTAGTTAATTTGTGTGACTGCTCTACTGTTACTTTAAAGGAAAGCACAATGTTTTCAGAGTATAAAGCTTGATGAATATCTATTTGAGCTATCATACTGATTATGTCATGTAGAGAGTTCGTATCCTTCCTTGTCTTTTTTAAAGTTTGTGTGTCGTAGTTGAGAGATAAGAATTAAATTTTTCTATTATTAAATAACTAGAGGCCCGGAGCACGAAATTTGTGCATGGCTGGGGGGTGGAGAGGAGTGGTCTCTCAGCCCAGCCTGCACCCTCTCCAATCTGGGACCCCTCAAGAGATGTCCGACTGCCAGTGGGATAGGGCCTAAACAGGCAGTCAGACATCCCTCTCACAATCCAGGACTGTTGGCTCCCAACCATTCGCCTGCCTGCCTGCCTGATTGTCCCTAAACGCTTCTGCCTGCCAGCCTGATCACCCCCTAACCACTCCCCTGCCAACCTGATTGACGCCTAACTGCTCCCCTGCCGGCCCGATTGCCCCTAACTGCCCTCCCCTGCTGGCCTGATTGCTCACAACTGCCCTCCCCTGCCAGCCATCTTGTGTCCACATGGGGGCAGCCATCTTGTGTGTTGGAGTGATGGTCAAATTTGCATATTACCTTTTTATTATATAGGATTTTTGTCTATTCCTAAGTTTCCTGTAACTTTGGCACCATGTTTTCCATGAGAATTTATTCACCACATTAAATTACCCTGAGTTACATCCTTTACCATTATCAAGTGCCCTTTTCATCTAATTTAATGCTTTTTTAAAAAAAATATATTTTATTGATTTTTCACAGAGAGGAAGGGAGAGGGATAGAGAGAAACATCAATGAGAGAGGAACATCCATCAGCTGCCTCCTGCACACCTCCCACTGGGGATGTGCCCACAACCAAGGCACATGCCCCTGGCCGGAATTGAACCTGGGACCCCTCAGTCCACAGGCCAACGCTCTATCCACTGAGCCAAACTGGCTAGGGCAATGCTTTTTGTTCTGATTACAACCAGAACAAATAGGAGGGAGGGAGCATTAGTCATCTTCCTCTCTCTCTCTCTCTCTCTCTCTCTCTCTCTCTCTCTCTCTCTTTCTCTTCAGTCTGTGTCACTCAGCTTGGGCTGCCCTAACAAAATACCATAAACTGGGTGTGGCTTACACAACAAAAATTTATTTTCTCACACTTCTGGAGGCTAGAACATTCCCAGGTGCTGGCGTGATCAGGTTCACATGAGAGCTCTCTGGCTTGCAAAAGGCCACCTTCTCGCTCTGTCCTCACGTGGCAAAGAGAAGGCTCTAGTGTCTCTTCCTCTTTTTGTAAGGACACCAGTTCTATCAGATCAGGACCCACCCTTATGATTGCATTTACCTTTAATCAGCTCCTTAAGAACCTATCTCCTGTGTAGAATCACATGGCGGGTTTGGGCTTCAAGATATGAGGGGTGCACAATTCCACCTATAGTAACATCTTAGCCCAACTCCATCTTTAGCCGTTCTGGGCTTCATTGTTTCAGATGCACCTCATATATGACACATGACTGGACTTCACTGTCTTTGTAAATTGAGAGTTTCTTTTCATAGGTGAAGTAGACTATTTAAATGTATTGTTATATATGTTTGGTCAAGAATTGGTTCTCACATTTTATATTATGGTTCCCTTCTCTTGCTTTCAATATTCCACTGTGTATTCTGCTTTGTTATGATGCCAGCTTGATTTTTTATTTTTTACTTGTAATAGTTTAATTTTTATTTGGACGATAGAAGAATTTTCCTTTGTCTTTGAGGACCAGTAAATTTACTTGGATACATGTCAGTGTTGATCATTCTGTATTAGGCTTTCCTGGGCCACAGCATGTTCTGTCCATTTGTAAATTCAGTGTTATTTTGCTTTCTAAAGCATTTTACTGAATAATATCTCCAGGCTTCTTCTTAAAGGATATAAATAATGTATATGTTGCAATTCTTTTGTCTTTCAAATCTTTCATATTCTTTTTCATCCATTCTAACTTCATTTATTTCTTATTTATTTTATTCGCTTCTCTCATTTCTGTCATCCTATTTTTCACTGATGTCAGTGTCTATCCTCCGTAGTGATTATTCCAATGTGCCTGCATTTCCGTAGTGACTTCATTTTCCCTTCTGCTTCCTTCCTGAGCTCCAGAAGTTCTTGCTTGATCTTCTGTGGCGTTCCCATTATTTTCCCTGAGCTCTCAATTGTTCCCTGGGCCTCTTTATTGATTCACTATGTTCTATTTGTCCATCACCATTTATTTGCTCATCATTTTCAGTATCTTGCTGGCACTTGTTTATTGTGAGCATTTCCTTCTACCACACATATACTCTGTCCCCTCCCTCCTTTTGTCATGTACTAGCTTTGCATAGAGCCTGTGCTGGGTGCCCTTTTATTCTTATCTGTAAACTAGGGGCCCTGTGCACAAATTCGTGCACCTTGAAAGGAACTGTGGGTAACAAGGCTGCGGTGGGCACAGGGGCAGGTCTTGGCCCATCCTCCATGCCCCTGTATGGCCCCTTCCGCCACAGCCCTGGGTCCCCTGTCTGCCTGCAGCCCCGCTCCCACTGCCGCGACCACTCCCATGAGCTGACAGCGCCAGCCCCACTCACACACACTGACAGCACAGAGCAATTGGGACCGGTTCCAAAAGCACATGCAAGCGGGGCAGTGCCATCAACAGGTGCAACCGGTGGCTGCTACCCCGATTGCCCCTCAGGAGCAGGGACAGGTGGAGAAGCCCTGAGGGGCAATCTGGGAAAGTGCCGGGCTCTGGCAGCGAGTGCAAGAAGTGGCTCCAGTGCCGGCAGCAGGTGAGAGCACCTGCTGCACACAGGAGCAATGAATTTGCAGTAACCACCAGAGGCTCACCCCAATGACAGCGACCGGCGCCCCGCCTTGGTCTGGTGCCTCCACTCACCTGCTCTACCAGCAGTCATGGCCGACACCCACCACGTCCCGCACTCTGCAGCCTGCTACCAACACCCGGCATGTTCCACATGTGCCCCCTGGTGGTGAGTGCACATCATAGTGACCGATTGTTCGGTTGTTCCGCTGTTCAGTCTATTTGCATATTAGGGTTTTATATATATAGATGGAGTTCACTCTTCCTGGACTTTGGAGGTGGTTCACATTGAGGATGATGAGTACGTCCAGCAGCAGGAATGCTCCTGGTCTCAGGAGAAGCTCCTTGTGACAAGGCTGTGTGTGTGTGCCTTATTTTAGCTTTTACCGCTCTCCAGCCAAGAGATACTGGCACAGGGCACAGTTCAACCTCTATCCTCCACCTGCCTCACCAGGGTCAGAACAAACGTGGCCTTGCTACATGTATTTTTTTTTAATTCAGCTCTACTGTCTCCACTTTTCTGTGGGGTCAAATAGGTTCCGGGGATGCTCCAGCAACTCGCCCCCTCACACACACACATACACTCACACACATGCAGATACTATTTCTGTGATTCCAAAAAAAGGATCATTGATTTTGTCCCTCAGAGTGTCCTCTACTTAAAAATAATGGTTTCCTTGACAATGAGGTATCACCTCGCACCTGTCAGAATGGCTACCATCAACAAATCAATAAATGGCAGGGATGTGGAGAAAAGGGAACCCTAGTATACTGCTGGTGGGAATGCACACTGATGCAGCCATTATGGAAAATAGTATGGAGTTTCCTCAAAAAATTAAATGTGAAAATGCCATTTGACCCAGTGATCCACTTCTAAGAATATATTGTAAGAAACCCAAAACACCAATCAGAAAGAATGTATGCACCCCTATGTTCATAGCAGCACAATTTACAATAGCTAAGATCTGGAAGCAAGTGCCCATCAGTAGATGAAAGGATAAAAAAAGCTGTGGTACATTTATACCATGGAATACTATTCATCTATGAAAACGAAGGATCTCTTACCTTTTGAGACAGCATGGAGGGACCTGGAGAGTATCATGCTAAGTGAAATAAGCCAGTCAGAGAAAGACAAGTATCACATGATCACACTCATATATGGAATCTAATTAACAAAATAAACTGATAAATGGAGTGGATCCAGAGTCATGGAAGCATGGAACAGAGTGCAGAATTGCGGAGGGAAGGCAGGGGAGGGTGGGTATGTTGGAGGTAACCAACCAAAGACCTTGTATGCATATATGCATAACCCATAGACACAGACAATGGGCAGTGAGGGCCTGGGGTGGCGGGCGGGGCAGGCTGGAGGGGGTCAATGGGGGGAAAAAGGGGGACATATGTAATACTTTCAACAATAAATTTTTTAAAAAAAAAAAGATTTCCTGCCAGCTTTGTCTGAGGTCTGTATCCTGAAACACCCCCACAGGCACTCTTTCTTCACCCTTAGTTGATCTTTACTACATTGGCATTCCTCCCTACATGTTATCTTTTGGAGGTTAGTCTTCATGTTTTATGAAAGGTGGAATTCATATTTCTGCCAAATTCTGAGAAGAATGGAAAATATTTCTTTGATCTGCTCTTTTCAAAGGAAGCCCCGGTATTTACAAAAGGTAAAATAAAGTTTATAGTAAACTTAAAGGGCAGCCTTAAAGGGGAAAAGGTCCCAGCAGGGGAACACGCGTCCTGAAAACTGAGCATGGAAAGGAGGGGACCCCTGACATTCCCAGTGCTGCAGGGCCTCAGGGCCTCAGGGCCACAGTGGGGGTCAGAAGACAAATGTGTAGACCACATGTATTCTGGTCCCTTCTCATGAAACGTATTTTCCCCCGGACCCACTGTTCTGCCTTATCCTCTCCCTTTAGACTTCCTGGTACTCCTAATGGACCGGAAGCATGAGCACCACACAGAGCTGGTCATGGATGCAGAATCTCAGGCTCCTCCCCAGACCCCAGGACCAGAATAGGAACCTGTATTTAACAAGATCCCCATACGCATGCTTGGGAAGCGCCACTGTACAGTAGTTCCTCAGCATCGTCAATAGGTTCTTGAAAACTGTGACCTTAAGCAAAATGACATATAGCGGAACCAATTTTCCCACAGGCTAATAATATAAGCATGAATTAAGTCCCTACAGTGTATTTCTGGTCACAAAAACATCACCAAATTTCTAAATAAAGACCCAAAACACTTCTAATATTAGACATTAAGAGAAATGTGAGCTATATATACATTTAAGAAAATGAATAAAAACCACTAAGAGAATTTGTTTCCAACCTGCTTATTCCAGTTCAGGGTCATGGGTGGCTGGAGCCTATCCCGGCAGCTCAGGGCACAAGATGGGCACCCACCCTGAGCAGGATCCCTTCCATCACAGGGTGCGTTCACACCCATCCACACTCACTCGGGCTGGGACAATGTAGACACGCTAATTCATTCCATGTGCACATCTTGGGGATGTAGGAGGAAATCAGAGTTCCTGGAGAAAACCCACACAGACATGGAAAAAACATGAAAACTCCACACCGATAGTGGCCTGCGCTGAGAATCGATTTTTTCTTCTCATCAACAGTATAAGAAAACAGCATTATGAAAGGATCTGCTGTAGATCTCAGCTCACACATCGTTTCCCCTCGCTAACCGTCACCTCAGGCTTCTCTGTAAACACTCATAAAACATCCCTTTTCTTTTGAGCGCTCACTCTGTAATTACACATTAGGACAATTTCTTCTATTCACCTGGATCTCCCCAACTAAACTAATGCCAGACTCCATGACTCACCAACAACCAATCAATAAATGTTTGCTGATGGAGTAAATAAATATGCACAATATTATACTTGTGTCTCAGCATTTTTAGTGCCAGTCGGCTGGTGCGGCCCATTCTCCCGCCAGCGGCGCCTCCCTGCATCAAACTCATCCACACCTGCATCAGCCTGGACCTCCTCAAGCCAACCCTCTGACTGGCCCAGTTTAGTCCCCAAGTGTGGCTTTGGAGAAGGCTCTTCCAGAAGTGAGTGAGGAAATCCAGGAATGAATGGCCTCGCTGAAAAAAATCCAAGAAGTCCCAGTACCCAGAGCACACTTTCCCAACCTCTTACATACTTGTAAATGCTACAAAGAGATCCTGCTACCTGCGTGTTATTTTGACAAATCTGATCACCATCTCTGTGTGGGAAGGAAATCCAGTCCCCACCCACTGGAGCTGACGCACAGTCCCACCACCCCGCCCGCAGGGTGTGTGCGGCCCTGAGGCCCCAGTGGACAGGAGTGGGAGGCTGCTCCGCCAGCTTCCCCTGCTGCCAGGCCCACAGGAACTCCAGCAATGGAATTGTTCCTCGGCCATTGCCCTCACCAGGTGCAGCTGAAATTGCCATTCTCAGCTGCGGGGGCTGCTTTGATGAGCAAGGAATGAAAGGTGACAGCTTGAAGCTAGTTTCCCCTGCTTGGATAATTAAACCTTCACTAAATATAGTAGGTTTAAATGAATGTTCACAACATTGAAACAGAACATGCTAATTCTAAAAATGTAGACTCGCTTGCTGCTCAAGTTCTCTTGGGAAATGCAGACACTGAAGCAAAACAATGTTTTCATCCCTCCTGCCCACCATCCCCGACCCAGTGAGCCAGTTTGTTCCAAGATGAGGGTCACCACAGGCAGGGGGGAAGCCAGGGTTGTCACCAGACATTCTATGAAACTCTCAGGAAACTGATGGTACAAAGTCAAGGGAGGAGACTTTGTGGGATCCTGCCCAGCACCAAATCAAGACAACAAGCGCTTTTGTGTCTATTCGATATATGCAAAACTCAAGCTCATAGGGGAGGGAATTTTCATTAGGTTGCTTTGCATTATACTCCAAAATGCATTTTGTTAGAAAAGGAGAGACATTTAAATGAGAGATTTCCTATGAAGATAGTGTAAACTTTCTAGGAAGCTGCTTTCCTGAATGATTAAATAAAATAAAAAAATGACCTTGACTCTCAATGGCCTCAAAAATAATTACACTCAGACCTCAAAGAAGGCTGTTCCCTGGTCATAAAATTCTCCTTCATAATTTACCTGGTGTAATAAATAATCAACAAATCTCCTTGGAAGAGCTGAATTCACTTGGTCTCCTCTTGTAAACCTGTTTTCTTTTAACTCTACTCCAACCACAGAAAATGTTTGCATTGAAGTCACGATGTCCTTCATGTTGCTCAATCCAGTGGTCAATCCCCAGTCACATGAGCAGCATGTGACATGATCGATCATTCCCATCTTGAAAGTCCTCATGTCATTCATTTGGCTTTCAGCCCTCCATTCCCTCTTGGTTCTCCTAGGACCTCAGTAGGGACATCTGAGCTGGAAAAGAAATTCAGATTCCACTTGTGTGTGTCCTCACCTCCAGTGCCCATGCATTCTACTGTTGAAAGGCTTGAAATTTCAGTTATCTTTAGAGCAAAACTGTGTACATGGGCATGACAGAATAACAGCCTCTTTTCTCCCAAGATGACATGTGTATCTTCAATCCTTTGTTTAGGTGAGGTCTCCTTTCCCTCTATTTTCTAAAAATATTAATTAGTCCTGAGATGTTTGTTGCTGTAAGATATTCTGTAAAGCATTTCCACTGAATTTTTTTTTTTCATGGAGAAAAAAAATATATGGTCCAATTCATGGTTTTTGAAGAACAAGCGAAAATCGTGGCCTCGTGAAGAAAAGAGTCATCATTTATGCCTTGAAAGGCTCTTTAGTAGGTTCAGATATCACAGCAACCACCTCACCTGGTCCCCTGGGACATCCTCCATTACCCAGTGCCCTAAAACACCGACACCACACGAACACCTGATGGCAGAGTTTGTTTTTTGTTTGTTTGTTTTTTAATATATTTTATTGATTTTTTACAGAGAGGAAGGGAGAGAGATAGAGAGCTAGAAACATCGATGACAGAGAAACATCGATCAGCTGCTTCCTGCACATCTCCTACTGGGGATGTGCCCGCAACCCAGGTACATGCCCTTGACCGGAATCGAACCTGGGACCTTTCAGTCCACAGGCTGACGCTCTATCCCCTGAGCCAAACCGGTTTCGGCGGCAATGGCAGAGTTTTTAGATAAGCTTCTCCATCGTCTAGCTAAGAGTTATCACATAACATAGATTCCATAGAGCTGAATCCCTCACATTCCCCTTTTTGGCCCTTAACTCATTCTTCTTTAACGAATATGCCAACCTCTGGAATGGACACAAATATACATAAATTACACCTACAATTCAGTGTGGGACAAAGGCTACTTGGTACCATACTACTATGTGTCTGCTCTTGAGTTTTAAATATCTTAGGACTCGAAGAAGGGCCTAGCCAATGTCCTGAGTTTTAATGAGAGAATGAAAGCTCAGAGAGGTACATGATTTGCCCAAGGGCTCACAGTGGTCAGTGCAGGACCAGCCCAGGCTCTCTGGTCAGTGGGATAGGGCTCTTTCCTGCATTTGTCCCCTCCTACAGGCTACTTGCCTGGGCTTTACAGAGGTCTCTCTTCTGCTGGGGACTACATTGCACAGAGCACCCTGCTATTCTCCTCTTGGTCTCTTGGTGTTGGGATGACATTTTCAGATAATTCTTAAACACTATAGTCTCTGTTTTACATCTCTCTGATTATCTGTGCTCCCGCCTAGACTTCAATCAAAAACAGTCCATTCATTAACAAAACTTTCAGAAAAAAAAAATATGTCTCTTTGGGAATTTTTGAAGTGTATAATTAAATCGAAAGGTGGCGTAAGGTTTGACATGGTGGTTGAAGGGTAGTGTGGGTTGTTACATTTATTGTTTCCATTTGAAAATAATCAGAGAATTATTCCTTCCACCTTCCTAGGAAAGATGGACATTCATTTGTTTCTCTAGATTAGAACATGTTAATGCTCTCAACCGGTATCAGTTGACTCCAGGAATAAACTACAGATCTGACTTCCCTCAATGGAGGTATCAAGATTCCTGATTTCACTTTCTTCCGAAGGTAATTTACATTTTTTTCTTCAAGTTATGATCTGGGTGTTTTGTTTTTTTCCCAGAGTAATCGGTTAGCACATTCTGTAAGCTTCAGAATATCAGCCTCATCTGTACCTAAGTCTCCAATCTTCATAATAAATAATCTTGCTGATTCCTTGCCTACTAAACTGCTTTTTACATGACTGTGTTTTAGAAAGGGGCAACTACATTGCAGATGAACAGATATAAGACTCCTCTCCATTCCCTTCAAATTCTTTGGGCAAAAACATGTCCCTTTCTCCTCCATGAAACATGACTAAAGACTAGTTCTTTGGCACTTCTTTTTAAGGTGGACTTCCCAGCTCTGGCCACATCCATCATACAAATGTTTTAATGATGTCTTTAATACATTATAGATTTAATTTATGAGTTCTTTGGATTGTTCCTGCTTTCTCAAGGGCAGATATCACATTTCCCCCCTCATACTCAAAGTTCCTAACAGGTAGTACCTACCTGACTAACAGAATAGTTAGTAAGTATGTCCTATGTTAAATTATTGGCTTTTTTCAACTCTTTTTAGAACTTAATCTTCTGGCCTAAGAGGGAACCTAAACTGGTCTTGCCTTGGCTCTATGTATAAAGTAGATAAAGGGAGAAGGCAGGATCTACTATTTATGCTTTTGAAACAAATGTAATGAGTATGCATTGCTTCCACAACCCCCAGGTCTACAAAATGCCATGTTTGTTTGCCTTCCCAAATCTAATTCTAACTAGATGAGCCCTCTGCTACTGGGATGGAGAGAAAATCCAATATCAGTCATTTTCAAGTCACCATATACCACCCCCACCCCCACCCCCCACCACCACCACCAGCATATAAGAATGCAGGGGCCTTTGTAATCCATTTGGGGAAGGGTGTCTGTTCTGGTCCTCTATTTATTTTAGTCACAGAATCTTGAAGTATATTACCCAACCCAAGTGGCTCATTCCATGGTGGGTGACTCTGT